TAAGTCATTGATGCCTAAAATAAATTTATTGTATTGTATTGTACATACCAGCTTACGCACCAACCTTGGCATATCCAGTTAAAGAGGTAGAGGAAATATATGAGGATATATCTAGAGCCATATATTCCTCCAAAACCGACTATACGGTATTAATGGCAGACTTCAACGCAAAACTAGTCACAAGAGAGAACGGTGAGCTGAAGGTAGGGAACTTCGGAATAGGGAAACGGAATCCAAGCGGCCACCAGTTGACCGACTTGATGGAGAAAAAAAGACTCTTTATGATGAACTTCTTCTTCCAGAAGCGGCCCCAAAAGAAGTGGACCTGGTCGAGCCCCGAAGGTTCGACAAAAATTAGATTGACTTTATTACGACGACAAGACCGCAACTGTTTAGTGATGTCTCAGTGATCACGAGGATGAAAACCGGCAGCGATTACCGATTGGTGAGAGACACACTGAACCTACAAGTTAAGTTGGAAAGATCACTTCTAACAAAGCCAACGCTCCGTCCCCTGATCGTGATCTGATCCAGAGTCCCGTAAACTTTCAGCTCGAGGTACAAAATCGTTTTCGGTGCCTAGAAGATTGCAATGCAATGGACGATATGAATGACAAGCTCGTGGAAACTGTCCATGTGGTCGGAGCTAAGTCCTGCAAGAGCCGCCGCAGAAGAACACAAAAACTCTCCGATCACACCCTGAGGCTGAGATCTATAGACCGTACTTTGATTTTTCTCAGACTTTATTTTCAAGCTAAGACAAAGGCGGTATTTATAGAACTAACTTCGCAATCATGCTGAGTGCGCGCTTAGCAAAGCCTAAGTCAACGAAATTGACGAATTACGTAAAACTCAGGATATTAACCAGAACCACCGTATTAATTTTAAATTGCTGTTTTTATGTTATTAAGGCGAAGTGTAGGGCGATTTCCCACTAGATGGATTGACAAGCTGGTAAGACATGCAAGAAGTCGATGGATGCAGGTGGCTCGGGTCCGTGCTTTGTGACAGTTTTTGGGGGAGGCCTATATTCAGCAGTAGACTTGTGAAGAGTTGTAATAATGAAATGTTCGCCTTAGTTTTTCTCAATATATTACTTTAAGCAACATGTAAATTGGTTCAGCTTGTGTGGAGATTAGCGTGCACAGACACACAGACAAAATGTTTCCTAACAAGCATACATATTATGTCGAGTTCTTGTTTTTGTTTTTGATAAACGAATTAAAAATACTAAACTGACGTGTCGCTTTGGACCACGGTAAAACGATGGTATATCCGACATGTATTAGACCGAACATTTTACAATCCCGCTAACAGTAAAGCTCCAGAAGCAGGCAAGCACTAATGACCGCACACCGCATAATAAAATGTGTTTAATGTAGCGGATGTACTCCAAATTACGTTTGGACTGACTCCAAAAAAAATACATCACCCACAGACCACAGATAATTTGTGAAATAATTTGCAAATATTTTTTGGTGGAAACTTTAAAATAATACGTTATATCCCCGAAAGTTTTCACCGCTGCGTTTGAAGATGTTTTAAAGCTACTGCACTGGAAATGATACGGCATTTACATCAATGGCGAAAACATCACTCACCTTCGATTTGTCGGCCACATAGTACTTATGGCAGGATCGCTGGAGGACCTAGGAACTGTGCTCAATTACCTCAGTGGCGTACTATTATGCCGTTGGTTTTAAGATGAATATGAACAAAACAAAGGTTATGAGTAACGTTTATGTCACACCTATGCCGGTAATTTTTGGGAGCACTACATTCAAAGTCGATGAAGAGTATGTTTACCAAAGACAAATAGTGGCATTGGGCCTCATAGTTCGAAGAACAGACTACGATGGGAAAAAAAGTTCCTCGGGTAGCAGCCTCATATTTTCATTTTAAAATAGTAACTCAACTTAGTTACTAGTTGTGTAATTAGATAATAAACTTACCCTTTTTTTATAAAAAAATCGTTTGAAAAAATCTATCCAAACCCTTGAGGAAGGTATTTCAGTAAATTTATTTCAAGGTGGTTATGAAATTTAGCAAGAGTAGACGAAGGCATTAAAATCGCCTGCTATTTTACTGTCGTTATCGGAGGTGATGTCTATTGGAGAATACCTTAAGTCGTCTCCAACGATATCCACGGGTCAAGTTGAGAATCATGGATTTACTTATGCCGCTACTACAGGAAAATCTATACTAGAAATTGTAAAAAAGCGTGTGTTGGGCTTAAATATAAGAGGATACATTTTTTATTTAAAATTTAGTTATACCACCTCCACTACTTTCATTTACAGACACACACACACATACGCATACATTACATGATATGAATGTCATTTTGTTGACCGACATAAGTGGTATTAATTAATGGAATCAGGTGTTACTTTGCGGAAATCAATTATATTAAAGATCATAAAATTAAATTGCCAAGATCCGCGTTACAAAATAAAATGATGTATCTTATCTAGTTAAAAGAGCACCTCCCGCCCTCCTTCAATTGCGTGCACTATCCCCGTCATCTCTTATCCCAGCACCACTATTCTCGACATTCACCGTTGATAATACGACACGTGTTTCGCCTCTACACAAGGCATCCTCAGGTGAGGTCTGCCGTGGCTGATCGCTAAGATACTTACCTTAGCGGTCAAAATGGTGTTATTATTAACGTTTTTCTCGAGTTTGAGAATAATATGAATTTAGTCTTAAGTTTATAACCCAGACATGCGAAACACTTGTTTCACAGCCAAAGTCTGTGAAGCACGGGAAGATCGCGGAGATAGTCCTTTGTACCGCTTAGGGACAAAGGTCTAGCGGATCGTCGACGGATAGCTAGGATCGCTAGGTATTCTTCAATTAGCCGGACAGACTGGTATATGAAATTTTATCAAAATAAAACTATAGTATACTGTGAAATAATACTATAATATTTTGGATAATTATAATAAATATTGTGTATAAATATTTTCTGTACTTTATTCTGGGCTAATATATATACGAGTACATTGTTTACTAGGTAATTTATTTATAAAGGAATCGCGACTACAACACATTTAACCATTTTAAAATCTTAAAGTCAACTCTATTTATACTGGATAGACTATTGCAATGTTTGATCGAAACATGGATTTTGCTTGTTTTGTTGATGTGAATATTTTTTTTTAGAAGAGGAGGATTAGAACCAAGTTCATTATAACAAGGTTGAATAGTTTAATATACTTATACAATATTAAGAAGAAAATTTTAAAATTTGACTTAATAAATAAATAATATACCATAAGAGTTTAAGGAGAAATTTATTTTAGGGGTCGGCTCGATCGGGGAAGCAGACTCTCACAGAATACCAGTTTGAAATAGCAGCTCAAAGCTGCTATAATTGTAGAGAACCGGAGACACTTTGTACTGGAAACGAGGCATTCCATCTTAGTCCTCACGGGTGACAACGCATCTGTTGAAAACATGTTTTGAAATTAACGTACGAAATCTTCACACAATTCTCTGAGTGGATTTTAATTAAAGTTTTCATCGATTTCCCCTACTTTTATTAAATTATATGGTAAACCTTTTGACAGGCGATTGTTTCGGACGTGAGATCCCGTCTCAGAACGAATTTCATTTACTGCTCGTTTCGTGATAGTGACGTGACGTTTTATAAGTACTGTGATATCTGCACGCTCCATCTTAAAAGGGCGAGGGGAGAAAATGTCAGCCTTTTAAAAAGATTACGGGTTGAGAGAAAATTTTGCGAGACAAAACCTTTTAAAGAGATTTTTTAAGAGATTTCAGAAGTCCCTTATCACTTGTTTTCGAAAAGTTTGGTTTCATAAAAAATTATAATTATAACCTTAAAGTCAATTACTAAATTTTACACACAAATTATAGATTTACTTACAGAATATTTTAGGAAGTACAGAATTTTATTCGAAATGTAAATATGTTTTAAATCAAATTTATTTTAAAGGGTAGTTGTACCTGTAGGCCGTTATATAAATTTTCTACTAAAAGCAATAATATAAAAGCTTCAAAAATGTTAAGTTTATATAATTACAGTAAGAAAAGTTTTTAATTTAGATACGAGTGTAACCATAATGAGATTTCATGCTTTTATAATTACCCATAACACCCACATAATTCATATAAAACAAGGGCGCCGTGGTAGCTCAGATGGTTAGCGCTCGCTGTAAATTTCACAATACGCGAGCAAACCGAGTTCGATCCCCGCCGGCACCAATGAAATTGTTAATTGCAATTTTAAGTGCTGATTTACCACGTGCTCGGCGGTGAGGGAAAACATCGTGAGGAAACCTGCATGTCTGAGAAATAAGAAAAAAAATATTTCGAAGACATGTGAAGTTCGCCAACACGCATTGGGGCAGCGTGGCGGACTATTCCTTGCCCTAAAACCCTCTCAGAAATGAGAGGAGGCCTGTACCCAGCAGTGGCACGTATATAGGCTGTAACTTTACTTTTTACTTTAAGGGCGCCGGAAACACAACAAATTCACAATTAAAAGAGATACTTTAAGTTTAATTATGTTAAACCCTCTTTGCTATAAAGAGAAAGTCAGTTCTAGTGATGGCATGTTTATGTGGTGAAGAAAAGGATAACAAATTTTGTTTGAAGATTATATAGTTTTTACAATTAAATTAATTTAAAAATAGTTACCATCACTATTTGATGATCTGTTCAAAAGTGTGGCAGTTCAGTAAGGCATGAACATATAATATATTGAACATATTTGGGTGGTGGAATCAAATAAAATGTTGAATATCCGACAAAGAGCTTCGCCCGCCCGCATTTCGAATCCATCTGATCAATACAATTCGTTTAGCTTCTTTTGTACAATATTTTTTCCGAAATAAAACGCGAATCCATTCTAGTTCTTTCTTTTATATCCATATTTTAGAATTTAAGCACTACTTCGATTTTATTCTGCGCTATTTTACAAAAATAAAGACTATAATAAATCAATGTGTTTCAAATTAATCGAAAAATTATCACCAAAAATCACCACTTTCAAACGAATTAACGAAATCATCATTTTGTGGAAAAACGTCATCAGTGGATTCATAATTGCTTAGATCGAATTTGTCAGCTAGGAAAGTATCTGCCGCGTATTTTACTGGTTTGTCTGTTGAGAAAAAACTCTCAATCTTTGTTGTTGTTGCTTTTACTGCGGTTGCTTCTTTTTGGATTCCTTGATTACTTTTAACGACTGTATTGCTTTCATGAGCCTGCTCTGTCGCTTTCTCTTTCTGAGGTTCTGGCCTACAGAATCCACCCCAGAAGTACCATCCGTGGGGGCAGATGAAGATTTGTGGATGTAAGTCGCCATGTTTCAAAAGACAAACGTAGTAATGGTTAGGGCTTGTAGGTAGCGAGCCAGTTTGTCCAACTTCTGTACAATCGGGTACTGGTTTTTCGCTACATTGTCCATTTGAAAGTTTTACCTGAAATTGTAAATTGTCTTTTATTATTTTTAATTTATTGACCAAGCTTTAGCTAGGCGTTATTGCTTACTAAGTTATTGGACTTTAGTTCTGTTTGCAAACTAATACCACTGCAGCTCCATGAAGCTGGCAGTGAAGGTCAGCAGAAACCATCGAAATTTGCATGGGAGTTTGTAGGTAAACAGTTGCTGTAACCGATTTTATAGTATCCTGTTCCATAAAAAACATGTTAACACTATTTAAATCATAAGCTAGCGGTTAAGTTCATGTAAAATTACAACCATTATATGGTAGTTTAGTGCCAAAAAAGAAAATCACAAAATCAGGAACCGATACGAGGCGCTATTGTAGAGTCATAAATGTTATATTAACTGAGTGAATTCATCGTACCAGCTACCGAAATAGGGCAGAACGACATCTGCCAAGTCAGATACAGATAACTTTATGTATAGCCAGCCACACGACTTGCAAGTCGGCTTATGTGCCTCTGGCGGAATATCAGCGCTACGGTAACTCATTTACTGTGGAATTATGCTGAGTCGATGGCTTGTTTATACTCGTAGCTTCAATTTTTTTTATAATATTTTATTTTGTAAAATTTCAATCTGTTTTTTTTTGTAAAATTGATGTTCTCCAAGACGCAGCAATAAACAAAATCGTTCTTTCTTCCTTGCTTTATTTCACTCACCTTATGTAGTAGAGCTCTAGCTGCGTCATGATACTACTTACTTAAGCAAGTTTATTAGGATATCCTTACCAGAATCCATAATCTACTAAAGTTATTTCCGTAAAAGAACTATTCAAGTCATAGTTTTCGGTGTAATCCACCGAAAACGTGTAAATTTAGTAACAGCCTGTATACCGAAACTGCACGTAAGCTTGCTTGATTCTGAGTTAAGAGGTAGGCCAAAATTGTTTTAGAGAAAATGGGAAAATTAAGAGGAAAAGCGGGTTCTGCTTAGGCATCGCTTAAGGAAATACATTGGATGCTATTTATGAATCACTTTTTAGATAAGAACAGTGACTAGTACCGGCTAGCTAGTAGTATTTTTCTGCTCTATGCGGTTTGTAATTTCCGTTCACTCCGTATTTTTTTACATTGTAAATTATAATAATAATTTATTAGACACACACTTTGAAAAATTACACTTATGTATAACATATTAAATTACTTTTTTTTTAGGTTCATTTATTGTGTACTATTTATTTTTAAGTTCATCAGAGGACTTGTGAAGAGCTGTAATAATGACAATGTTGATAACATGTATTTCTAATATATTATTTTTATTATAACATAGTGTTGCGCGCCTAAGTTGACGTCATGTAGTGTCAGGGACGAGAGCGGGGGGAGCTTTCCACAAAATGACATGACTAATCTTTCAACCGACAGCGCCATCTAGTGTCGAAACGAAGAACTAAGCTTCTAGAAGCCGACACTCGAACTTTCGGCGTCTTGTCGATTGGTGCGCGTATTTACTTGAATGTTCTGGATGTTTCGGTACTAATGTGTATTTATAGGCGCTGCAAGTTGCGATCGGGGAAGTATTGAATTTGGCGAGACAAGCGAAGCTTCAGAGCGAAATAAAGTGAATCAGTGTGATTAATTATTAGTGTTTTAAATTTTAATTAGTGTAAAGTGAATTAAAGTGTTAATTTTGGTAATTCAATCGGCAGTTTTTATTGTCACGAACCTCAAGCTCGTAACAATTGGGGACAGAAGTAGGATTAAATCATGCTGATTTTACCTACGGAGGAAAATAAAAGGAAGTCAACGCCAGCAGGAGACGGACCAGAGACGATTTGGTGGAGCAACGCCGCAGAGGTCAAAGGGCCAACTGCCAGCCACGGAGCCTGGCCCGGCCCGTCAGTAGCTCCTAAATCTGCAGCACCTGACTTAGGTGCTCTGATGGTGATGCTGCAGGAACAGGCTCGCCGACAGGAGGAACAGGTCCATCGGTTGGAAGAGCAGCTGCGGGGTGGACAGGATGAACAGGTCCGCCGACAGGAGGAACAGGTCCGCCGACAGGAGGAACAGGTCCGTCGGTTGGAAGAGCAGCTGCGGGGCGGACAGGATGAACAGGCCCGCCGAAAAAATGAACAGACCCGTCGGTTGGAAGAGCAGATGCTCCTACCTTCGGGAAAGAGATACGGGAGGTGAAGGATAAGGTTGCTCAACATGACAACCGCCTGTCGGAAGCTGAAACCCGAATTGACCAAGTAAACAATCGGGTTGATAACGTAATGGCTGACGTGAAGAAAACGCTGGCAGACCTCAAACTTGGGGATGAAACAACAGCTCCCGTAGTAGCTACAACACCTTCGCTACGTGGATTCAAAGTGCCGCCGTTCGACGGGACTTCTTCCTGGTCGGCCAATAAAATCCAGTTCGAGGCCGTCATGGAGGCGAACGGCTGGAATAAAAGCCAAGCCATGACTGCACTCATCCTAGGCCTGCGTGACCAAGCCTTAACTGTGTTGGAAGCTCTCGGTAAGAAAGTGACCTACGAGCAGCTCCTCCGCTTATAGAGATCCGATCCGATCCGCCTCCGAGATATGGCGACCCTCACCTGAAACACGTCGTTCGCGCGCAGTTTAAAGATCGCGTGCAATGCAGCAACGAAAATCTGCAGCAGTGGGCCCTTGAGGTGGAGAAGATGGTTCGAAAAGCATACCAGTCTGTACCTGCGCTCATTGAAGGGAACCTGGTACAGACATTCATCGACGGCATCCACGACCTTGAAGTCAGAGGCTGTGAGGATCGGGTACCAAGAGACGCTTAAGGACGCCTTGGCCCAAGCACTGGAGGTGGAAGCCGTGCGGCAGGATCTTCACTCCCATCGCGTCAGGGAGGTTGCAGCAGCTACGGTTCGCGACCGCAATAAAGGGTACAGCCCTAAGTGCTATGGGTGTGGGGAAAGGAGCCATCTTCGATCCAGCTGCCCTAAGCGAACCGTAAAAAGGGAAGGTGAACTATATCAGGAGGGTGGTGCGGCTAACAGCCCCGCTCAGCAGCAGCAGGGAAACGAATAAAAGCCAGAACTGCGGGGCGGGTGCTGGCTGATGTTAAAAGAGCTCCAAGGATCTCGATCTCACAAACCCGTGATGGGAACAGTCTGATCATCAAGGGTGAGGTCAACGGAATGCCGTGTAAACTGACCATAGATACTGGAGCCTCTCGTACGGTTGTTAGTTCCCAACTTATAAGTCAGTTCCTTGGGGACTCAGCATACAATCGAGAACGCATTAATTTGGGAACAGCCACTGGTCAGCGTATACCCGTCCGTGGAGAGAAGGAGATGGAATTGATCCTAGGCAACGTGATCTACCTGCATAATGTCATCGTGGCTGATATAATGGACGACTGCATCCTGGGCCTAGACTTTATGAGGAATAACTGTTGTGAGATCGACGTTAAGCAAGGTGTTTTGAAATGTGGACAGGAGGAACTTTTTATGGAAGGTGCGTTACCAGGGAATGGGAAGTGTACAGCATTAAGAAGATTGTTCTTCCGCCGAGATCGGAAACGATTGTTCCGGTTAGTCTTCCCTAAAACGCGGGGCAAGCTCACCGTTGTGTACTTGTGGAAAGGGTAAACAATGACCTTCCATGGAAAGTAGCTCGAACCTTGGTCAGAACCACTGACATCTCAGTGTTCAGATGTTAGTGGTTCTGACCAAGGTTCAACGTGTGCTGAACCTTTGTGACCGGGAACAGATTATAGAAAAAGGCACGCTGGTTGGTACTTGTGAGGAAGTGGATTGGTTACGTCGTTGCCAATATCTATCGAAGTGAGACCCCCAGCAAGGATGCACAAACGAGAGTGACCACACTTTTGGAAGACTGTCGCAGCCTTCTCTCCCCGACCGAAATGGTCAAGGCGAAGAAGTTGTTACTCACGTATGCCGATGTATTCTCATCAAACGATGCTGACATAGGAAAGACTGGCTTAGTTCAACACAAAATAAACACAGGAGAAGAATTGCCTATCCGTCAGCGGCCAAGAAGATTGCCGGTAGCACGTGAAAAGGAAGTGGAAACCATGATTGAAGGAATGGTGAAGGATGGTGTTATTGAACCTTCCTCTAGTCCATGGTGTTCACCAGTGGTGCTGGTAAAGAAAAAGGATGGCAGCATGCGGTTTTGTGTTGACTACCGCCGTCTGAACAACGTTACGAAGAAGGACAGCTATCCGTTGCTAAGAATTGATGACACGCTGGAACATGCTTACAGGAGTAAAATGGTTTAGCACGCTGGATCTAAAAAGTGGCTACTGGCAAGTTGAAATTGACCAAGAACAAAACTGCATTCTCGACGGGAAAGGGTCTGTGGCAATTTAAATTAATGCCGTTTGGATTGTGCAATGCTCCAGCAACTTTTGAAAGGCTGATGGAACTTGTACTTACCGGGCTAATTGGCGATGCCTGTCTGGTCTACTTGGATAATATCATCATCGTAGGCCGTACGTTTGAGGAACACCTTCAAAACCTGGAACGCGTGCTCATGAAGATTCGGAGTGCCAACCTCAAGTTGAGTCCGAAGAAATGTTCACTACTCAAACGGCAAGTTAACTTTTTGGGGTATGTAGTATCGGAAGAAGGTATCCGCACGGATCCAGAGAATCACCGCTGTCAAAGATTGGCCGGTCCCAAAAGACAAGACGCAGGTTAGAGCATTTTTGGGTTTGTGCTCCTATTACTGGCAATTTGTGAAGAACTTTGCAGATATAGCCAAACCTCTGCATAAGCTAACCGAGGAGAAGCGACTTTTCTGCTGGGATGAAATTTGCAATATCGCATTTCAGGAGCTCAAAGACCGTCTGTGCAAAACACCTATTTTGGGATACCTATAGATATATTTTGTATACATATAATTTATAGTTGACACAGACGCAAGTGATATAGGACTTGGCGGTGTGTTGTCTCAACGGAATGGTGACCAAGAGGTCGTGATAGCGTACTTCAGCAAGTCGTTGTCAAAACCGGAAAGGAACTATTGTGTCACAAGACGCGAATTGCTAACTGTGGTAAAGTCGTTGTAGCATTTTAGCAAATATCTTCTGGGGTGAAAATTTCACTTACGAACTGACCATGCTGCACTAAAATGGCTATTGCAGTTCAAAAATCCAGAAGGACAAGTTGCCAGGTGGATTGAACTACTGCAGGAATACGACTTTGAGATCGAACATCGTAGCGGGAAATCTCATGGCAACGCATATGCACTGTCAAGAAGACCTTGTCCTGAAGATTGCAGACATTGTACTAGGCAAGTAAGGAAGTGGTATCCGTGAGGATGCTCAGGGCAGACCACCTCAGCAACGAGTGGAAGGACAGCTTACAATGTGCACAGCAGGAAGATCCGGACATCAAGCCGATTCTGGAATGGATGAAGGCCAGTGCTCCCAAGCCCAAGTGGAGCGACGTCTCAGCGATGAGTTCGACCACTAAAAGCTATTGGGCCCAGTGGGACAGCTTGCTGCTTCAGGATGGAGTTCTGTGCCGTAAATGGGAAAATGTTCGGGGGAGACCGCTGTCATTTGCAAATGGTTGTCCCTAAAGCTAAAGTACCGGATGTTCTACAGCTGTACCATAATGATTGTTCAGGAGGCCATCTGGGAGTTAAACGAACTCTACTGAAGATCCGAGAACGGTTTTACTGGGTCCAATGTCGGAACGACGTCGAGGACTGGTATCGCAAATGTACAAATTGTGCGGCTGTAAAGGGACCTCAGACTCGTAGTAGAGGTGCGTTGAAATTGTACAATGTTGGTGCACCATGGGAGAGAATAGCCATTGACGTGGCGGGGCCGTTTCCGGAGAGTGAAAGCGGTAACAAGTATCTCACGGTTGTGATGGATTACTTCACTAAGTGGCTAGAAGTCTTCGCCATTCCAAATCATGAAGCTTCAACAGTTGCAGATAAACTAGTTCATGAAGTTTTCTGTCGTTTTGGAGTACCTTTAGAGATTCACAGCGGTCAAGGAAGGAATTTTGAGTCTCAAATATTCCAGGAAACTTGTCGAGTTATGGGTACTCATAAAACAAGAACGACTTCTTATCACCCGCAATCTGATGGAATGGTAGAACGATTTAATCAGACATTGAAGAGGTACCTAGCAAAAGTTGTAGACAATCGGCAACGAGATTGAGACAAGCACATACAACAGTTTTTGTTGTCAAATCGAAGCACTGTTCACGAAAGTATAGCAGTGACACCAGCGTTCGCAAACTTTGGAAGAGAATTACGGCTGCCTGCAAACCTGATCACCGGGATACCACCTGATGTCCCACGCAGTATAACCGATTATGCAAATGACTTGCGGAATAAAATTAATGACATATCAGACAATCAAATCAAAAAATCAAAGCACGTCAGACAATCGGGCCAGCAAATGTCTGAGAAGATGAAAACCCGGTATGACCGCAAAATGAACAATAAAGGGTTCGACGAAGGTTCACTAGTGTGGTTGCACAATCCAGTCCGCAGCAAAGGGAAATCTCCTAAGCTTCAAGCTAAATGGGACGGCCCGTACCGGATTGTAACCAGGATCAACGATGTAACCTACCGGATACAGAAAGGCGCAAGAGGGACTCCTAAGATCGTCCTTGTGGATCGCTTGGCAGGTTATTATGGGGCCGATAATGCTCGGGACGAGCATGTCTTAGGAGGGGGCAGTGTTGCGCGCCTAAGTTGACGTCATGTAGTGTCAGGGACGAGAGCGGGCGTCCAGAAAATGACATCACTAATCTTTCAACCGATAGCGCCATCTGGTGTCGAAACGAAGAACTAAGCTAATTATTTCTTAAATTTACGTGAACACTACACATTGAATAAAACTAAATTTACGGATTCTATCGCGTTTATTTATCAGATTTTATTTATTTTTAATTGCCGGCGTTTCGAGTGCTTTACAGCATGCTTACATGGTCACGGGGGGACTGAGATGTTTGACGTCCCAGTGTCATTGTTAGCCTGGCTACCTTCAGTTTTTGAATATTAATTTTTTGTCCGATTTACGCAAATTTGCGTAAATCAAACATCTCAGTCCCCCCCTGACCATGGTTGCCTTAAAGCACCCGAAACGTCGAGAATTATAAATAAGTAAAATTAGTTAAATAAACGCGATAGAATAGGTAAATTTAGTTTTATTCAAAGAACTAAGCTTCTAGAAGCCAACACTCGAACTTTCGGCGCCTTGTCGATTGGTGCGCGTATTTACTTGAATGTTCTGGATGTTTCGGTTCTAATGTGTATTTATAGGCACCGCAAGGTGCGATCGGGGAAGTATTGAATTTGGCGAGACAAGCGAAGCTTCGGAGCGAAATACAGTGAATCAGTGTGATTAATTATTAGTGTTTTAAATTTTAATTAGTGTAAAGTGAATTAAAGTGTTAATTTTGGTAATTCAATCGGCAGTTTTTATTGTCACGAACCTCAAGCTCGTAACAATAATATGTTAATATAAATTGTATATATTACAATATTGTGTAAAATTTATTAATAACTCCATCAAAGCGCTGCCTATCGAGTCCAAATTTTGTGTTTTTCTTCTTTGACAAGAAACCGACAATTGTCGTTTGAGTCGTTATGTTCCTTACATTACATTATATTATGTTGACGTTATGATCTTATCATAACTATGAACTTAGGCCTCACCAATGCGGCGATAAGACCCCTCTTTGAGGAGTGGCTTGAGAGACGCCACGGCATCCTCACCTTCCGCCTGACTCAGGTCCTCACCGGACACGGTGTGTTCGGGAGGTTCCTGCACCGAATCGGGCGGGAGGAAACGCCCGGGTGCTCCCACTGCGAGGATGGACCGGAGGACACGGTGGAACACACCGTGGAGGTGTGCCCTGCTTGGGCGGAGCACCGCCGTGTCCTCGTAGCGGCGATAGGCGGCGGCGACCTCTCGCGTCCGGCCCTGGTTGAAGCCATGGTCCGGAGCGAGACGGAATGGGATGCCGTCACCACCTTCTGCGAAGCAGTGATGCTAGCGAAGGAGGTGGCGGAGCGGGAGAAGGAAAGAGCAGCAGCTTTCCTCCCCGGCCGCCGCGGGAGACGCCCCGGGCTTCGGGGGCTACGTCGTGGCCCCCGGCCACCGTAGGCGCGGGCCTGTGGACGGCGAGCAATGGGTAGCTCGTCGTCCGTCCGTCTAACGACGACAGGCCGTGTCGACGGCGCGTTTTGTTCCACGCGCGCCTCAAAGAGCTGTCAGCAGCGTGATGGGGCCCGCAAGGGCCGACGCCTGCCTGGGGCTGCGGGCTATTCGAAAGAGATACCGCGGCTCCGGAACGTAAGGGCACTGAAGGAACACGGATGGTTTTTAGTCAGTAAAAGTCTGACACTCCCTTACGCTCCACCCAGAGCGAGAGGGGTCATTAGATGATTTTCCATCCGCAAAAAAAAAAAAAAAAAAAGGCCTCACCAATACGAATATTAAATTGTGTGAATATGACTTCTATCGTTCAAGTTGCTCAAAAGCAAAGAGATTTAAATATATATATATATATATATAATATATATATATATATATATATATATATATATATATATATATACTGTAGAGCGGACATTGGGAACATTTTCATACAAAAGCTGTGACCACGCGCATGTATTACACCATCTAGCGAAATATAGCAATACTACACCGAATATTTATTAAGAAAACATTTTAGCTATTTCCCAGTAGGTGAAACTACCTACTAAACATAAGGTTAAAATCGTTGTAGGCACATCGTTAATCACTAACATATTTGTAAATATATATTGACGTTACTGGATAACTGAGGGCACATATTACAATAATTTTTCTTTCTTCTCGAACAATCTACTAGAAATAATAAAATTTAAAGATTATTTGGTAAATACACATTATTCTTACGATAATAAACCAAAATCACGTTCATTTTTTGCTCCATATCGTGATTTACAATACTTTAATGCACAACCAGGCATATTTTCTTTAAAAATATTTTTAAATTTATAAAATGAATGCGTCTTGACCTTTTGACGATGTCACTTAGACTAAATGACAAAAATCGGAAATATATCCTATAGGACAAAGGTTACGGACGACAATTTTGTTACTGATGTCCGGTCTATTACTACTACCTATTTAAATGTCTTGAAAGTTATGCTCGTTAACGATTATACCTATACTATCGATTTTGATTCCTGACAACAGCGCCACCTACCGGATCCCAATTGGATCCGGTAGGTGGCGCTCAATCTAAACGATTCTAGAATCAATCACACACATAAAATTTCATCAAAATCCTTCCAGTCGTTTAGGCGGAGTTCAGTCACATTTTCACGGACTAAAGAATTATATAATAGATAAAAATAAAGATTAAAAATACCGTTTTATTCTACTGTGAAGTTTATCATTGATTGAAAATTCAGCTGGGTGAAGTAGTTTTGTGAAAACATAGTGGCGGGTGAGGTGAGATATTCTTTTCGCTTAAAATTGGTTGCACGGCTCCATGGACTGCAGTAACCACTTATCATCAGGTGGACTGTCAGTGCTTGACACTTTAATTTTATATACAAAAATTACACCTACCTTCGTATTCATATTCCTAGACTTCAATTTTTTGTGTGAAGCTCGTATATTTATTATTACGTAAAAATGCACGATTCATAAAGGGATAGATATAGATATAAATCTTCGGGCAAAACCTATTAATATATATTTCGCAGTTGGTATTTTCTAGTACGAATATAAATTTGACAGTTTTTACTTACTAAACATTATCCTGACCCAAAACTGTAAAAAATGTGCACACAACTTACCGAACATTGTGCGTTCAGAGGATTGTAGCCGTAATGCCGAGGGCATAAAGCAGTTCTGTGGTCTGCAGGTCTTCCACCCGGGAGACCTTCAGCTGGTGAACACAGGTGGAACTTTCTGCAGTCGTATGCATCGGGGAATATTCCAACCTGGAAACATTTCGAAGATTTAAAGTATGCCGGAGTACTACAAAGCCAGGTTGTAGGCCATCAGACCTACATATTTCTTATGAATCTAAGTTAGGTTAGCTTAATTAGTTAAGGTAACAACGTGAGCTAACTATCTCACGCTCACCAGATGTTGCTAGTTCGGAATGCGGTAAAAATATTTGTCGCGCCGTTGGTCACACAGTGTTCGTCCTCATTTGTGAAAGTTGCGTGTTAACAAAAGCTTTTCGGCGTTTAATAGTATCCTCCAGACCGAATTTCGGTCACGGCGGCCAGCTTCAACGGAGGTTAGCCATCGGCGCAGGACAGGATTATAGTGCCCAAGTGTATGCGCAAGCACAGGCGCACTCTCTATTCCCTCACTCTCATAATCCGATGGGACGGTATACCGACACGACCGGTGAAAGATCAGGCGCAGGACCAAAGCCTTTACGTGCTTTCCGAGGCATGGGGTGAGACACCGCCAACTTCCTGACTCAGGGCATCTATTGAGAATTTCCTTACGGAAAATCTGAATAATTGATTTTTGGCCCACCACGGGATTTGAACCCAGGACCTCATTATCAGCAGTCGCACTATTACAACTACTAGACCAACGAGACAGTTGAATTTCGGCGTTTAGTGTATACCTATGTTTATACTCAAAAAAGACCTCAGAGGAGTATTCTTTAATTTTTTTACACATTTTTTTAATGAAGTTTTAATTAATCTTCTTTTAGGATTGTGCGTAACTTAATTTATATATTAATTACTAATCGAATGATTACAAAATATAAACAATATTTCCGAAATATTAGTTTTCACACTTATCTAATAATGTACGGAAACACACGGAAAAAGTCGTGGATGCACTTATTCTACTGCTGCTCTTATATCGTATTGAATTAAAATAAAAGTTGTAGTGTATTGTATTGCCGTGTAGAGACGGCGTAAAAGAATGGTCCCGTCTCATACATGTCGTAAGAGGCTTCTATGGGATCCAAAAGGATCTTATGGCTTTCGATTGATGGCGTTATAATCATCTTATTTACGACAGGCGTGAAATACCCAGACCAGTAACCATCTAGCACTGTGATACTCAATCTGCTTTCCATGCGTGACGATTTAGGCAAATCCTTCGAATAACGGGAGATACCAGTTCAGCTGTTGACATTTACGGGCCGATTAAGAAAAGAAGAATGTGTAAATATTTTTTAAAGGTAAGAAAAAAAGAGGAAGCATAATATTATACTGTAGAAAAGTATTTGGTCAAGCAAGTAGATGATTTTTTATATTTGGAATGTGTATTCAGCAGGGATGAGAGATATGATAAGGATATAGAACGACGAGTGAACGCGAGAAATAGTGTAAATGGGGCCTTGCACTCTATTGTGAAGAGTCAAAATGTATCGAAAAAGGCACGTACGGCAATTCACAATGCTGTGTTAGTCCTCCTACTTCAACGCATGGTAGTGAAAGTTCAGTGTGGCAGAAGAAGCTCGAGAGTAGAATAAACGCAGTAGAAACACAGTTGTTAAGGAGTATGCTAGGGCTGAATCTGTTCGACAGGTTGAGAAATTATGTGATAACGAGAGCGGTTTGTAACATGATGTCGTGACCAGGATTAAGAAAGCAATGCTTCGGTAGTTTGGTCATGTAGAAAGAATGAATGAGGAGATAGTGACAAAGCAAATTTATGTTGCGGAAGTGAACGGTGGAGTCGAAAAGGGCCGTCTTAGGAAAAAGTCTATCGACAAATTACGAGTACTCTTAACCAAAAAGCATGTATGCGTAGGTATATGGATGTGGAGGAGGCAAGAGAGCTGTGTTATGATCGTACCAAATGGAAATCTATAGTCTCTGCCTACACCTCTGGGTAGTCAGCGCGAGTGTTTATTATTGAAACGTCTTTAATCAGAATTTAGATTCTAAATTATATGAACAAGGCTTATCATGTTATAGTATACATATATTTTCAAACTTGAATTTCAGACACAGGCATAGCCTAGTTTAAATGCTAGAAATTCTTATCTTGTAGTGTACACTTTTTCATTGCAATTTCCCTTACTGTACAGTTAAATATAAAACAAAAAATTTACAGCCTTAGTGGTCAAACTTGTTTGTTTTTTGAATCAAACAAAATATTAAATACAAAATAAATAATAGTACTACGATGTTACGCATTAAAGTAGGTAGTCTTGACATTTTTTTTGTTCTACCCGAAACATTAATCTTATGGATTAGATAATATAAGTGTGTACCGTAGCTCGTTTAATCAGCTAACATTATTATTATTATTATTTTATTTCACGTATTATTTTGAAGAAAAAAAAATAAGACAGTATTTACGTTGTTACTTAAAGTGAAATGAGTTCAGAATTTATAGACAATACAAAAAAAAAATAATCTCACCATACTGAATTTCAGGTACAGTGACCAGCTTCAACGGAGATTAACCATCTGTGCTGGACAGGATTGAAGTTCATGAGAGTGCAAGCACGAGTGCACTCGATTCCCTCTCATAGTGATAAGACTCTATCGGAGAGCGATCAGACGCAATACTAACGGCTTTATTTACTTTCCGAGTCACGAGAGTGAAATACCGCCAACTTTCAGACATTGTGTTGCTGAATGAGAATTTCTTAACAGAAAAACCCAGCACTGGATTTTTGACCAACCCCGGGATTAAAACCCGGGATCTCATGATCAACATTCACGCATTAGACGAACGAGGCAGTCAGTTTAATTATTATAAAATGATTTCAATAAATAACCTAATAATAGTATAACAACTTTACGTTGGTATTGCCGTGTAACGGGTCAGGTTTTTTGGTATACTTTTCCTTAATACCCGAGAAATTACATCGCACGATTTCTTAGAAGCATTACTTAATCCACAGGACATTTTAATCGAGTGAAAACGATAAACTAAAAGAAGAGATAACACAGCATTCATTTAAATGTAGATAAGAGTTGAAAAATAGGCAGTTAAAGAACAGGAGGAAAATAATGTTCATATTTTATTTCTTAGTTGTTTTTTTCAAGTTGGCGTTGAAAATGAATAAAACGTACTTGTAGTAAATTGAAGCTTATATGCACTATTAGGCATATCTCTAATAATTTAAAAGGTTATGAAGAAATAAGTGCCCCGCAGCTGAGAAAAACAAACCAGGAGATGAGCTACTATGGCAAATATCCCCCTTATGGGGTATTGCATGACATGGTCATCATGTCCTTACGTGTACCTTTACGTCTACATAGTTGTGAAGGCGAATGTACACGCTACAACGCCCTGGACTAAAATTAATAATTGACGTTAGAATTTTGACTTGGATTTCGATTTTTTATAATATTTTTTTTCTTTCAAACGAAAATAATAATTTCCCCATTTTAAATAAGTTGAACAACTGTTGTAAAGTAAGTTGTTTAAGTCCAAATTCCATCTAAAGTTGATAGCTCTCTCGAGAATTGTAATCAACAAAGCGGTTTTTAGTTGTGATTGATTGAGTAAGTTCAATTCTGGCTTACTAATGGATAAAGATACTATTGAAAGATATTAAGGAATTGAGCCGGTGTGAGGTATAATAAAGATTTTTTTAAATCCATTTTTTAATATTAAAAGCTTATCTATATCATTTGTTCTTTGGGCTGTGTGTACTGAAATAGGCTATTAAGATTGGTCTATAAAACAGAATTAGGGACAAAGTTCACAAATAACAACCACGAAGTGAATCTCATTTGGAGGTTTTCTAATGAATAAGGGTACAACACACAATCCACCTGACACTTAAACATGATTAAAAATAAAATGCAAATGCGTTTTTATTTATAAAGTATAAATTACGTACGTTCCGATCATTTTTATGTCCGATTGAAATGATTAGTCTGTGATACACCTCTCTGTAGCTGAAAATATAAATATATCTGTGGCTCGTTTTGTTTAACTTTTCTGTGCTTTGAGTTTGATTTCGATTTATTATTTCGTATTTCGTAAAATAATTACATAAGTGTGGTGTCTAACTAGTCAGTAAATATTCAGTTTATGGTGCTTTATCTGTATTAGTCGTTTTACTTAATCGGATAATGTCTAATGTGTTAGTGTTACTGAAAATGGTGTGTCTTAAGATGCCTCCATAATCATCTAATATGAGTACCCACGTCATAGACTTATTATACTACTGAGCATATGTATATTATTATTTCTGTGCATCATCTGTCAATAATATAATTAAATCTCTATGAAAATAATTGTTTTATTTCTAAAACATTAAAAGTATTTCTGTGTTCCATTCGTACCAATGCTTATTATTGTTAATTTATTTATTACTATTATTTTCATTTATTACTATTTCCATTCCAATTTTCTATATTTAGATTTAGAAAGTCGGAATGGAAATAGTATATTATAAATGAATATAATATGTAATATTGAATGTGGGGGTGAGCAATGAGCAATATACATATACACACGCACACATTCACAGAGCATTATCGTGTGAGTGAATTAGAATATACACACACACACACATGCATATTATAGTTAGCTAGCGTAACAATCATCAGGTGGCGCTTTTTCCAAGGGGCACCAGTTTTACTCGCAAGAGGGCTCTCTTTTTATATATTTGCTATACTCTTTGGAACAGACTGCCCGTAGTAAGCATTCACGTCGGGCATGTCTGTGCCCGCGCAGACAAAATGAGATCGCCCGGACGTTCAACAGGCCAGTCCGCAAGCCCGACGGCGACGCTCCTGCACTATCACACTTTGCACAGCGCTATAGTAGCGAAGTCCCAGTCTCTGCAGACATGCCCGTGAGCAAGTCCGTCTAGTGAATTCCGCGCTTAACTCTTTTCAAATATAAATGCCCCCTGTTCAAAGAGGCAAGAAAGCACATTGAGTAACTTTGATTAATACGTAAATGTTATATTTTTTCTGAGTACAACAATAGCCATTAACTAATGCTTACAGTGGTATTAATTAACAGTAACATGATGTGAGGATAC